CACACCACTGTGATTTTCACAAGGTCAGTAGAAACATGATCTTTACCCACAGTGTGATCGATAAATTTCAGCCACATGTGCATGAAAGCATATTTTCCTAGTTTCAAGTCCAAGTTTTCTGAATAAGACTTAAACACATGAACAAACACCAAGACATCACTGACAGGCCAGACATCTCTCCCTTTGGAGTTCTTCAGTGTAAGTTCCATGTACGCTTCCGCTACTGTGTTGAATCCCTATTGCTGGCACTATCATCAGTTAGTGATTTAAACTTATTTGACTTGAACATGGCATGACAGAAGCAAACATAGCAGTACCACTAGTTTGAGCTACCTGAACCTTACTCACCATGCCAATAAATTTTTGACCGAGTAGCTGAATAGCCAACTGTCCATAATTTCAGAACAACACTGGGACTACGTTACTTCTCAGACAGATAACTGTTTGAACTAGTGCTCACTGCATTCCAGATAAGAAAAAGTACATTTTATGCACTGGTTCTGTCACTGTATTAAATTGCACTAGCTTGCTAGACCTCATCTGTGGTAAACCACGGAACACCACTTGTTACAAAGAGGTACAGCGACTCCTTCTCAAACATACGCTTGTGCAGTCTACTGTTCCTAGGCCTTTTCTGGTCCGCGTCAGATGACTTTTCTGTGGAAACGCAGTTCACTTGCTAACAGGCAAAACTGACTCACAATTTATGAAATATACATTCATCTGTAAGACTCCAATGCATGCCAAAACCAAAACCAAGATCAAGATCTTCGTTCTGTAATTGACATCACCTATATGTAGTCAGAGTCATAGCTCTCCATTCACATCTAAGTTATTACAATTTACCAAAACAAAGTCAATGTTGAACGACTGAAGTGATGGTTTGACTTGGAGTGCCTAATATACTGACAGATCAACCAATGTCCTGAAAGCTCCTAAAAAACTCGGAATTTTCTCTCTTGTCCCTGTATCTTCATAGGCATACAAAGTGGCAGCAGCCCTGTGAAAGCTGGGTTCCACACTTTTGACACAAGCTTCATTCCCCACGTTGATAACTAGAATCGAATTAAGCAGCTATAAAGGTATTACATACCATAATATTATAAATAAAGCCGTGACGAGCTCTGGTGTTGAGCAAAAGGCTTTGCATATGACGAAATATAGATGCTTTTAAAACAATTTTTTTTAGTATATATACACCAATTTAACATTGGATTGTAGTGTTATTGAAACATAGCAATATTACTCTGATATCTGGCAAGGTTTTTCTGCACTAACTTTTCAAATAACATAATATTTCAAATATCATATTGTTTGTTTACTGGAATATTCTCACAAAGTTACCCAGTATAATCTACATAAAGTCGTCTCTACTTTTCAACTAACGCGCTAGATGAAAAGTCCCACCGGTGGGACAGCGGTAAATTTACGGACTTACAATGATAAAGTCTGGAGTTTGGCATAACAGATAGCCTATTGTGGCTTTGTTCTAGAAGAAGTAGCAACAATAAGTAGAGGAAAGACAGCTAATAAACAACACCAACCGCCAACCCTTGAGCTACTCTTGTTTGACCAAATAGTAGGATTCACTGTCCATCTTATAACGAACCCACGACTTCAGAGTGTAGAGTGAGTTTCTGCGGGAACCGAGAGACGAACATGGACTCTCGTATAAACTATTCGGGCACGCTAAACACTAGCCACGCCAGCCCAATATCAATCTCACTATTTAATTGTTGGTACCACGTGACATATGCGTCCAACACGTTAAATCTTGCATGTAAAATGTACAATATTTAAATTTCATTATGAACTTTTTTTGCTATTAGCGTTTAAATATTCAAGTCCTTAGGGCGTGGTATATTTTGGATCAAATTAACTTGAAGAATGAAAGGGTTTTGTTTTTATAACCATTAAACCTTTGCAACATTTGTGAGTGTACGTTTCCCAGTGATTTGTCACACTTTTCCCGACTTTTCTCTTCATTTTAAAGTATAGGAATGATCTAAATTTGTAAATTATAACAAAGCAAACTTCCATTTATAAAAATCAGGGTTTTCCAACAGGTTACGTAAAGTAAAATGAAACAAATATAACGAAGACAACACAAGTTCAGATTGATTTAAGGTAGACACAGTCTTTGAGATCGAACAATAACAAGCCTTCGAAACCATTGCTGTCGTGATAACTATTACGTTTGATGGGCGGTTGACTAACCAACCAATATTGTTTAGCATCTGCTTAATTGTATCTGTATACATCACTTGAAATCAGTCTATTTGATACTGTGTTAGAAAACACATCAAGACTTTAAAGGGACAATATATATAGCCTTGTATCTCCGATACAGCGTTGGTTGTTGTGCAATGCTTGAAGTTGTCCTTCGTTAATCTGTAGAAAAAATGATTCACTAAAGTGACTAAACTGATGACGTACATGAAGACACCAAAAAGATAAAACAAAAAAAAATTGAAGTAATTACTTGTTGCACCCTTTGTGAAATGTCTCTGGCTATCCTATAAACTTCCATTTAAAGATATATATATATATATTATGGATAAGATATAAATAACATTAAAACTTAGATGCGTTGAAAAACACATTTTTACAAATACATTACCAACAGAGTTTCGCCAACATTTCGAAATGTCATTTAGATCAACAAATGTCAATCTAAGAAAACACTGAAACGTATAATGCAAAGTAGGAAGCTAATAAAGATAAAAGTTGCTTGAAGTCTATCTGAAAAGCCTGAACATGAAGGAAGTTTGCCACTTAGGTGGGAAGGTCTGGGCAGCAGTCAGCTCGTTGTGTGTAGAGAAATGCTGGGAGAAGGGTCTGGGGCTAGCCTTTTCATCACGGCAATCCACCACCGAAGATGATGATGACGAGACAGATTTGTACGGCTTCACAGAGGAAGTTGTGCGTGAGGCAAATAAACTGTCTGAATGGAGCAAAGAAGAGCTTTTCCAGTGGCACTCTGTTGAC